ACAACTAACGGGCCCGTCAAGCGCGGGAGGGGCCGTCGCCCAAGGGCGGCGGGGCGCGGGTTGGCCTAGCGCGTCAGCTAAGCGCCGGGCGCCGCCGGAGAAAACACACTGATTGGCCCAACACACTTATTGGCCCGACGCGCTGATTGGCGGGGCGCACTGATTGGCTGGGCGTCCGGCGGGAGGGCGGGGAGGGGCTGCTTCCGTCTGGAGTTACCGGAGCTGCCCCAGCTGGGGCTGTAAAGCAAGAGTTCACCTGAGCTTCCCACCCGTGGAGCTTGATGCTTCTCCTGCGCTTGGCCATGCCGACCGCGGTGGGGACCCTGGGCTCCACGACCTCTGGCTTTTAGGCCCACGGGCCATCACTGCGACGGAGGCTCCGCTGTTCACCCTGCGGAGCCCGGCTGTGCAAAGGGATAACTCTTGCACCCTGTCGACATTTAAGCCTTAGCGCTGCAGTGTTTGGGGCTACTAGGTGGGCTCTTTCATCTCAGTGCTACTTCGTGGGTCTCGAGGCTGGACAAGAGTACTATATCCTTGCAGCCTCTCCTCTACAGCGCCTGCCTGTGGCGTCCATTTAGGACACTGCCCTGAAATGCACTCACTGCTCACCCAAGTTTTTCACCCCTTACAGCACCAATTCACTCCACTCTACTGATCCAAGGAGCCATGGTCCTGACTAAACTACCCCCTTGTCTTCTCACTCACTAAGCCTAGTCTAACTGGCTCCACCGACACTCTATTCTGATTTCACTTTACTATTGTGGGCAGTTTTTTTGTTTTTTTAAAACACAGATCCAAAGATATCATTTCCCCTCTTCAGAGCCATCCTCGCGCCAGAAAAGAGGCTAAACTCCTCAGTTTGGGTATTAAAAGCCCCATGATTCCCAGCACAGGTGAGTCTGAGACAGGAGGATCACAAATTTGAAGGCAGGCTGTGCTACACAGTTAAATCCAGTCTCAAAACAACAAAACTCAAACTCCACATTTCCTTTTTTTATGTGTTCCAGCCACAGCCCGCTCTGCTCACCTCACCATCCCGAGTACTGTATTTGTAGAGAGGAAGCTTATACCTACCCATTCTACTAATCTTATTACTGTCACTGTAGGTTAATCATAAAATTTCTATTATGTATTTGGAGCAAAAAGCTGAAGTATTTTGAGGAAATAAGGGGAAAGAGAGTCCCAGTTGCTCAAATTCAGCATCTCCTGCCAAGAGTACCACAACTTTCTTCTTTACAAAGAATGGTATTGGAATTTCACCATCGTAGACCTTTTTAACATTAAGAGATTTGCAAAAGGTGAGGTAGCTTATGTCTGTTATCCTGGAATTCAGGGGCTGAGGCAGACAGATTACCATGAATTCAAGCCAGCCTGCACTACATACAGAGTGAGAGCCTCTTTCAAATACACATACACACACACGCGCGCACACACACACACACACACACACACACACACAAATAGTTTTTTAATGTGATGGAGCATGTCTGTAATCCAGTTCAGCCAACACTACATAGTGAGACCCTGTCTCAAATATGAGCTGACATTGATGGGCTCAGTACTTTGCTTGCCTTTTCCAAATGCCTTTCAGGGGACTAAATCCAAATACTAAAGAACTGAGGAACTAAATTGTTGCTATTCATCTTAGCTTTGTGGTATTTCAAAATGTTTCCCTTTGAAGTTTCTCTCTCCTCTCTCTCTCTCTCTCTCTCTCTCTCTCTCTCTCTCTCTCTCTCTCTCGGGGTTTATTAAGAAAGGGGGGTTGGTAATTGTTTTTAGAGGCAGGGTCTCATTCTGTAAACTGGATTTAAACTCAATTTCCACCTCAACCTGCAAGTGCTGAGATTAAGGATTTAACTGAAGAGGGAGAGAGAGCAAAACGGGCCTAAGAGTCTCAAGAGACACAACTCTAATTTCATTTTACATAAAGTTTGATACCCTTCATTCAGATCACTTTAACAATTTGAGTAGAAACTTTTTCATGTATGTGGTGTGTGTGTGTGTGTGTGTGAGAGAGAGAGAGAGAGAGAGAGAGAGAGAGAGAGAGTGATTGACTCAATGTAAGTCAACATCTGGTGGTTTTCAGCTGCTACCATATTTGTGTAGTGTGTGTGTGCACCCATATGTGTGTGGAACACTTGCAGGTGCGTGCACTACAGGAATCCAACTGTTGACTTGGGCTGTCTTCCTCAGTAGCTCCGTGTGTTGTGCATGTGCATGTCTGCATGAAGGCGGACACCCCCATGTTTGTATATGTCGAGGATGGGTTAACTTCTGCTATATTTATGTATTGCACACTTCCTTTTTTGAGAAAGTCTTTCACTGAACCAAGAGCTGGGCTAGATGGCATCCATCAAGCCCTTGAGATCCACATGTCCTCTGTCATCTGTGTTGCGCCCCTCCCCACTCCCCGGCACTGTGAGGACACTCCAGCAGCTATAGAAACACTGTTCTGGCTGTGACCACTTCGGGTTGCCTGCACTGGTCTTGCACTGCACTCCTAAGGCAAGACAGAGCTGAGTGAACTCTAGAAGCTCCTACCACCATTTTACCTAGCTAAGAGGACTGCTTCCTTGTCTTTCTTGCCATATGCCTCATTCCTAGCTATGTAAGTAGGCTATGTCCTGATCATTTCTCTTCTGAAGCAGACTTTGAAAATTGCTATCATGTAGTTCTGACTGTCCCCAAACTGGCTATGTAGCTGACTTTGAACTACTGATCCTTCTACACAAAGCAGACTTCTTTGAGAAATGCTATCATGTAGTACTTACTGGCCCCAAACTGGCTATGTAGCTGACTTTGAACTACTGATCCTCCTACAGCCACCTCAGGAGAACTGAGATTACTGGGATGTGCCATCATGTCTGGCATCAGTGTATCTGTGTGTGAATATGTTGTTGGCACATGTATGTGATGAGGGCATGCACATGTGTATGTGTGTGCATGTACATTCCAGAGAATTTTAGATACTACTAGTCAGATAGCTTTGACATTTTTTGAGACAGCGGCTTTCACTGGCCAGGAACATGCCAAGAAGGCTAGACTAGCAGACCAGAAAGACACAGGGACCTGCCTGATTTTACCACCCCAGACCTAGGAAAACAAGTCCACGCCATCATGCCTGGCAGTTTCACATGAGTTCTGGCCATCTATCTTAGGTCTTTACGCTGTAACAACGTTACTGGAGAATCCATGGACATTCCAGTGAAACGGCTCCATAGAAAAGGTGCTTGCTGCCAAGCTTCAGTACCTGAGATCGATTCCTGGGACTAACATAGTGGAAGGAGAAAACTAATTTCCTCTAGTTGTCCTGTGGGCTCCACCCTAAGCATGTGTGCAGCCCCAACAGGAAATACAGGTAAAAATATTTCAATAAAGGATTACACGCACTGTTACATTTGTTGGGACAGGGTCTCATATTGTGGCCCAGGCTAGTCAAGAACTCAAAGAAATTCCTCCTACCCAGCCCCATGAGTGCTGGGTATGCAAGTATGAAGCACTAGACATAATTTACATTTTGTTTCTTGTAATGTTTGACATTACCCAAAGTTTGCAAACTTGGGAAGACTCCCCTCCTGCAGTAGTTCACTATGTTGAAAGACGGTATATATATCAGGAGGACATCGTCCATTCACAGAGTAACCTGGCTGGAAGTCTAATCACATATACTTCCTTGCTTCCCACTCGCTCTCAAACATGTATGTTACCTTGGCAAAGTCATGAGAAACAAGTAATAGGCAATCACTTCTAAAATCCTACCAAAATTATTATCATTTGCCAATGCTAACTTACCTAACTCTTTCTGGGTTACATTTCATCAAAAATGCCAATAGAGATTCTTCCTCGGGCTCTCCCTTAATTCCACTTGTGCTATTTTTGTTGACAGTTCAGATTAGTCCTGGAGTACCCTTTGTTTCTCAGGCTCAATTCAAACCTGGGTACCCTGAGTGTTGGGATTACAAGCCCACACTGCACACTGCTTTTTGTCCTCATTCTGATCTAACCTGGGATCTGTCTGGATCTGCCTGACCTGGATTAAGGTCTTCCTTCGGTAGAGTTTTCTGTTAAGCATGTTCCTTACACATCTCCTTCAGATCAGCTACTGGAGCTGTAATGTCTTTACCATCCCACCTCTGACACCTGCGTTAATATGCTACAGGTGACTGGAAAGGGGGCAATGGAGGTATAAGACAGCAGATAAACCAAGTGTCTAACTTACCTCAAGAATTAGAAGAAGTAAAGTAGGGGAGTTGAGGAAATCTCCTCAACTGTGGAGATTCAACTGGTTGGAGGCTGGCAATAGATTTGACCCTGAGGGTCAGAGGTCTTGGGGCCTGAAGGTGTTAGACCTAAGGGCTGACCTCACCAATGAGTCTCCTAGAAGCAAAGATGTGGGCTTGTCATTAAGAAGGTAAAGGTCATTGCCCCTAAGTCTGATGACCTGAATTCCACCCTTAGGAGCAATAGAGTCAGAGGAAAGAATTGTTTTAAGCTGTCCATTAACTTCCAAGCATGTGGGTGTGCAAACACACACTGTAAATGTAATACAAACATTTTTAAAGAAAGGATACTAGGACTATGGAATAAGCTTAGAGGGTTGAATGATTCCCTAGGATGCAGGAACCATAAGCCCCCCCCCCCCTGAAACAAATAAAGGGTCAAAAATAGCTCGGGAATATATAGCTAGCATTCCTGAAAGTAGAAAGCAACTACTTCCAGAGTTCAATGTCATGTGTGTTCAACACAACACAGCGTTAACGGTTCAGCCTCAGAATCTCTGCTCATTCAATGTTTGTTGGATATGATTTTTTACCCATAAATTCATCTTCCCAACTCTTCAAATTCCCCATTTTTGATAGTTCAGGCTAATCTGGAACATCCTATGTTTCCTAAGATGACCTCCAACTAGCAAATATCCTGCCTGAGGCTGCTGAGTCATGGAATTACAGACCCCTGATGCCACTTGCTGCTCTGGCGCTTCATTCTTGTCTATGCCACTTCAGCCAACCTGGGAACTCAGGTTGACCCTGCTCTTGCTATGGGGCAATGCCCTCTCTGGGTGGGATTGTGACTGTATGAGCAGATTCCTAACAAGTCTCTTTCCAGCGCCCTCCTGGGCTGTATGAATGAACCTAGATCATCTCTGACATCTACACCCTTAGTATTCAGCAGGTGTCTAGGAAAGGGAACATGGAAGCATGCAAGAGCAGATCAGTCAAGTGTCCAACTTACCTCAAGAATTAGAAGTAATGAGGAGACAAGGAATTCTCCTCAACTGGGGAGGAGATTTGACCCCTGGGGTCAGAGGTCTTGAGACCTGGTGATCTTGGTCCCTATAGATTGACCACACCAATAAGCCTCCTAGGAGCAAAGAGAGGATATTAAGAGTTGACAAGATGGCTCAGAAATAAGTGTTTCCTGCTAGACTAGATTACTAGAGAGAGAGAATAATAAAAACATTTTAACAAAAGAAATGACTTTTGTATTGTCAGATAAGTTCACTGGGCAGAATCCTAGCACAGCATAGAGGAAACCATGCGTCTCCTCCTCGCTGCCCACCTTTTAGCTGCAGGGTTTCTTCTCCGCTGTGCACCAGGAACACTGTCGCGTGAGTTGACAGTCTCCTGTGTCTGCCAACTTCCTTGTTAGAGGAGAGTGTGACTACTGATATCCCCATCTATCGGACATGTGTTCTTGGGACTCAAGTCAGGTCTTAGAACTTGTTTGACAACCACTGTGCACTAAACCCACTCCACTGCTGCCCCCGTTTCTGATAGCCCAGCAAGCCTGAAAAACACTTTTTTCCCCACGTTGACCTCTAACTGGCTACTGGGGTCTCCTGAGTGTGGGGCTTTCCTCCCTAACCACCACATGCCGCTCTTATTTTTGTCTTCTGCCACTTGATCTGAACTGGAAACCCTCATGTGCCTGTCTGACAAATGGAAACCTCCTCTCTGGGTGGGATCAGTGCCTCCATGACCACCTTCCTTCCAGGTCTCCCTTAGGTCACCTGCTGAGGCTAAGAGTCTTTATCATCCCAGCGCTAACACTGCAGGTGTCTAGGGAAGGTGTGGGGAGAACAGAAGACAGAAGATCAGTGTCTAACTCACCTCAAGAAATAAGGGATTTAACTTGGGAGACTTGGAGAATTCTGCACCTGCAGGGGAGCTCCAAAGGGTGGGGGATGGACAATGGACTTGACCCAGAGGGTCAGAGGTCCTGGGACCTGAGACCCTAGGTCTCTTTGTCCAGGCAGAACAGTGAGCCTCCTAGGAGTAAAGATGTGAGTTTATCATTAAGAATGCATGAGTGGCTGGCAAGATATTGCAGCAGTTAAAGGTCTTTGCCCCAAGACTGATGATCAGAGTTCAATACCTGGGGCCCAAATGGTGGAGGGAACTGACTGCCTTGAGTTACCCTAGATTTCCCTATGAGCACCATGGAGAACTTGTGATGACAAACACGGTATATACATGAATGACATGTGGACGTGGCGATAAAGTCACTTAGTAGAGAGCTGGCCAAGCATGGATCAAGCCATGAGTTCCATGCCCAGCATCAAGTAAATGTCACATTTCCTAACTGTGGAGATATCTGTAACACAAGTTTAAAGTCATCCTCAATGACATACTGAGTCATTGACTACATGGCTACACAAGACTACAAAATGTCATTAAACACTCTCAATAAGAATTAAGAAATACCATTAAAGGCTCTGCCTTAGAATATCAGGTAGTTTTCCTTCAAGTGCGTGTATATCCCACACACATACTACATATGAGTCAGGGTGCTATGTGCCATGGCACACATGTACAACACAGGTCATTCTTAGGTGGGTTTCTTCAGTGTCCACCTTTTTGATGTAGGCTTTTCATCTTTGGCACATAGGCCAATCTATTCACCCCACCAAATTCTAGAGAGTTGGTTGTATCTACTGCCATCTTACCATAGGGAAGCTGGCACTACAGATGCTACCCATTGGTCTTCTACATATCCTGGGACTCAATCCCAGGTTCATGCTCACTGGCAAGCACATTATCTATTTAGCCATCTCTTTAGCATTCCCTCTTCTTTTCAGAGTCCTACGTTTCCAGAGTTGACCTCAACCTCTTAAATCTCCCCATGTGAGCCTGAGTGTTGGTATTTGCTGTGGGACAATGGTATTTCATCCTGCCACTTGTATTATTTTTAATAAAATGCTGATTAGTAGCCAGACAGGAAGGACAGGTGGGGCGATGAGAATTCTGGGAAGAGGGTTCAGTCTGCAGTCGTGACACAGATGCAGAGGAAGCAAGATGTGACTGCCTTGCCCAATAAGGTACTGAGCCACATGGCTAACATAGACAAGAATAATGGGCTAATATAAGTTATAAGAGTTAATAAGAAGCCTGAGATAATGGGTCAATCAGTTTATAATTAATGTAGACCTCTGTGTGATTTCTTTGGGACTGAATGACTGCAGGACTGGGTGGGACAGAAACCTCAGTCAACAGGTATTAGAGGCCCACATCACCACATGCTCTTTGGACATTTCTTGTCTTATGCCACTTGATCCAATCTGGGAATTCCCTGTGAACCTGCCTAGAATGCAGCAAACTCACTTCCAGGTGGTACTGACTGTGTAACTATCTTCCTTCAAGACCTCCTTCTTGTTCCCTCCTGAGGCTGTCTGTTCTTCATGATACCTCCTTAGACATCTGAATCCTTAATATACTATTGGTGTCTAGGAAAGGTGCTGGGTGGGTATAGGATAGAGGATAATCCAAGAACATCCAACTCACCTCAAGAAATAGGAAAAGTATGGGAGGCTTGGAGAATTTTTCTGTAGGGGAACTCCAATGGGTTGGGGGAAGGAAGTGGACCTGACCTCAAGGGTCAGAGGTCCTGGAACCTGCTGACCTAGGTCCCTACTGGCCAAACACACCAGTAAGCCTCCTAGGAGAAGAGAAGAAGTTTTTTTTTTGAAAGTAAATTTTATTAAATTATAAAAGTTTCCATTTCCGCCCCTAGAAGAAGTTTTTTCATTAAGAAAAGATCTTGGATCCTGCATGTTATTTTAGCAGATAAAAACTCTCAAGTTAAGCTTGAGTCCCCAACTTAACTATATGAGTTTGATCTTCAAGATTTACATAGTAGAAAGTTGTCCTGTACCATGCACGTGTACACAGTATCATGCACACAGAGAATAATAAATTCAATAAAAAGGTTTTTAATTAGAGAAATGACATTAAGAGTGGGGGAAAAGCACAGGTGGTGGAGTATTATCTTAGCGTACAGGAAGCCATAAATCTTCACCCCAACATTAAATTCAGGGTACAAATTAGATTAAGTCCATCACCCTAGCATTCCTAAAGGTGGAGGAATCTGGCTCTGGGATCAATGTCACTCTAGTGATATACTGAGACTCTGGCCATCCTACATGGCTACATGAGACTAGGAAATGCCATTAAACACTCTCCATAAGAATCTGAGGTGTGTGTGTGTGTGTGTGTGTGTGTGTGTGTGGTATGAGGGGGCTGTGCCATAGCACACATGTGTAAGACACATCATCCTCAGGTGTTGGTCCTCACTACCCACCTTGTTTGAGGTAGAATCTCATGCCTCCTCACAAGACTCTAGATAGTTTCCTATATTTCTGCCTGCCCTCTTACCACAGGAGAACTGGCAGTGCAGATATGTGCTCTGCACAAGGCTTTCCCATTTCCTTGGGACTCAAAGCCAGGTTCATGCTTATTGGCAAGCACTTTGGCCATTAAGCCACTTGCCCAATGCTCCTTCTTCCCGCTTTTTGAGAATCCAGGTTACCACGGAACTTCCTATTTTTCAAACTAAGCTATCCTCAACCTAATAATTCTCCTGCCTGAGTATTCAGGTGGAGGTTCACAGATTTCTATTGGTCCTCTTTTTTTCTCTTCTGCTACTTCATCCAACCTGAGATTTCCCTCTATCCCTGCCCTGTTTGAGTGAGATCTGTCATTGTGTAATCATCTTCCTTATAGGCCTTCTTTATGTCCACTCCTGCGACCGTAAATACTATCTCACGGCTGATATCTGCATTCTTAATCCACCATTGGTTTCTAGGAAAGGAATTGAGAGGATATGGGATAGAAGATAAGCAGTGTGTCTAACTGACCTCAGGAAATATGGAAGTAACTTGGGAGGCTTGATCTTCAAGATTCCTCCTCCTGCAGCAGAGCTTCTCTTGGTGGGGGGCCGGTAATGGACCTGACCTCAAGGGTCAGAAGTCCTGGGACCTGCTGACCTAGGTCCCTACTACTGGCTGGGTACACCAATGAACCTCCTTGGGACAAAAATGCGGGATTATTATTGAGAACGTTATCCCCAAATTATTGTATTTGAAATATAGTGAGATAACTCAAAAGAGAGAGTCTTTTGCCACAGTGTAACCACTTAAGTGAATCACCCAGACCCTTGAGCCCTGGGTGGTGGTGATGGTGGGGAGAACTGACAACTATAAGTTGTTCTTGGATCTGCCCAGGTGAGTCGTGGTGTGTGCCTGGGTGCACATACATAGTGTAATACAAAATAGTTTTTAAAGAAAGACAGACTACTAGGACTCGGGGATAAACTCAGTTGGTGCAGTGATAGCTTAGCCCAACACTCTACATAGTAGTTCAGGCCTGCAATCCTAGCATCCCAAAGGTGAAGGCAGCTGGAGATGGGGTTCAAGGTCATCTATGACCACAGAGTGGGTTCCTAACCACCCTACATGGCTAAGCAAGACTATGAAATGCCATTTATAGGCTCTCTCTCAGAACCTATGTTCATTCTTTTTCATCTTTGTGCTTGTGTTAAGTCAGGTGGGTGGATACCAGGCATGAGTATGGAGGTCACAAGAACTCCCCATCCTTTCAGGAAATGCTAAGTCTCTCGTTCTCTACTGTGTTTGCTGCACGAACTGGACTACAAGCTTCCAGAGAGTCTATTTCTGCCTGACATCCTGCCATGGAGGACTGGGAGTGTACTGATCCTCAGCTTTCACACCACCTTCGGGGACTCAAACTCAGGTCCTCATGTTTGTTTAGCAAGTATTCTACCATCAGACCATCTCTTAAACCCTTCTGTTTCACATGTTTAAAGACTTGAAGAGCCTGGAATGTTCATTTCCCAGGCTGACTTCTAACAGAAAATCTCTTCCCCAAGATCAGAGTGTTGAGATTACAACCCCACACCAAGATATGTTGCTTTTGCCTTTGATTCTTGTCTTCTGTGAACTCATACAACCTGGGACTTCCCTATGACACTGTAACCCCCTCTCTGGGTGGTATCTGGAACTATAGAACCATGTTCCAAGCTTCCTCCAGGTCCCCTGCTAGAAGAACTTTATCACACCATCTCCAACACCTTTGTACATTTCAAGGTTTCTAGGAAAGGGGGCTGCAGAAATAGGAGAGATGCCAAGTGTCTAGCTCACCTCTGGAAATAGGGGGACTAGCGTGAGAAGCTTGGAGAAGTCTCCTGCTGCGGGGAAATGCCAATAGGTATGAGAGAGAGTAATGCACTTGACCCAGAGGGTCAGAGGTCCTGAGACCTGAACACCGAGGTCCTTACTGACTCGTTACACCAATCAGCCTCCTAAGAGAAAGATGCAAGATTGTCATTAAGAAAGTATATTGGAGAAGGCTGGGGAGATAATTTGGGAATTAGGAGAACCAGTTTCAGTCTCAGCACCCAATATAGTGGTTCACACCTGTCTGTAACACCATTTCCAAAGAATCTGATGCACTATTCTGAACTGCATAGGGACCATGCACACATGTAGTGAACGAACATACATGCAGGCAAAACATTCATAAAATAATACATACACACATACACACACATATATTATATATAAGTATATCATGTTATATTATATGAATAATTATATATATGTATATATAATTTTTTACGTGTTATCTAGATGCTCACCATACAGAGGATTTGACCTATAGGTCTGAACGCTAATTTGATTCATGAACCCACAGGATAAAAGAAAATAAACATTTCTTTGATGAATGGAAAAAACTCATCTTGCCCAGGTGTGTTAGGAAGGCATTATATACAATCAATCCATTAAAAAAAAAAAAACAAAATCGAGAACTTGGGACTAGAAAATGAACTCAGTTGGCAGAGTGCTAACTTGGAACAAAAGAAGTCATGAATTGGAAGTCAAAAAGGGAAAATGGAAATACAATACTTCAGACATGCACACTTAGCATTCAAGAAATGGCAGATCATTGTGCTCATAGGGTCACAGTGAAAACATGGTGATCCTACGTGACTACATGAAAACGAAAGATAATGAAAGGATCTACATTGAAATGTAAATGTATTTTTGTAATTTCTGAGATATGTGACCCACTATGTGCACTGATGTGGACCTGCAAAAACATGTAGATGTGCTTGTGTGTATGTACTGAAAGGAAACAAGAGAAAAATAGAGACAAACACACAGAGAGACAGTAAGAAAGATATGAGATAAAAAATGGGCAAAAAATAATGGACAGGAAACTATGAAGTCCCATTAAAGGCTCTCCTTCAGAAAGTTCCCTGCTCTGCCCCATGTCATTCTCTGTACTTGCCTGTGTGTCTCCTGAAGAGTGGACACACACACACTCGCCTGTGAGCAGGCGCAACATGTCTCAGGCGTGCAATTGGAGGACACCAGGCATCATAGGATGTGGTCCCAGCCCTCCCCCTTTTTGATCCAGTGCCCTTTCTGCTCTCCCAGCCTGCTTCCCTATGAGCTTCCAGACTGCTTGTACTATCTCTGCAGCCCAGGGGGCAACACAAACCCACAGTGCCTGACCCACACCACTCCCTCAACATTTTCTGGGTTGTTGGGCCTCATTCTGCAGGGCCAATGCCTTCCCCAATAAATAACCCACATCCTCAGCACTCCCTGTCCTCCATTGCCCAGGTTCCAGATCAGCCTGGGACATCTTATGTTCTATAAGATTTATAAACAATAAATCTCTGTGAGCCTCCTGAGTCTTGGCAATTCATGCCCCCACCGCTTAAGCACAACATATTTTGGCCTTCATTCTCGTCTTCCACTCCTCATGATCCATCCAGGTCATCTCCCCCACTCTCTAGTGTGGGAAGCCGTCCTTCTATGTGTGGGGTCTGGGACTGTAGAGCCATCCTCCTGCCAGGTGTGTCCGGACAGGTCCTGGGTAGTAAGGTCTCTACCATGCTACCTACAAAATCAGCAACTGTGGTACCCTACAGGTCCAGACATGAGTCAGGGGTGGGGACCAGGCACAGGTGATAATTCAAGCATCCCACTCACCTCAAGAAATAGGGGAATAACTTGGGAGGCTTGTAGAAGTCTCCTCCTGCAAGGGAGCTCCAATGGGTGGGGGGCCACTAATGGACCTGACCCAGAGGGTCAGGGGTCCTAGGACCTGACGGCCTAGGGTCCTTGCTGGCTGGGCACACCGATGAGCCTCCTAGGAGAAAGGAGCAGGATTGTCACCAAGAGAGTCGATCTGCCAAGTGACCGTCTGATTCATGATAATAATCTAGCTGCTCGATGTTTCTATTTGTATGTTCATTACAACAGAGAGGCAGAATATGTTTCAGAAGCTATTGAGAGACAGCAAGAGGGCTTGGTGAATGAAGGTGTTGGCTGCCAAGCCTGAGGACGATGACTCAGATTAGGAGAAGGGAACTGAGACCCACACCTTGTCTTTTGACCTGGCCAAGCCAATGAGGGCACATGTGAACACATGCACACCTACCCCATACACACACAAGCACACACTCAAAAATAAAAATAAGATTGGATTTTGGCACCAGTCAGTAGAGTGGATTGGTTGAGCACAGTCCTGGCATACACGAAGCCATGAAACCACTGAGGTGCTTTCCTCTACCACAAAAGAAGACCCATGGTAGTTTAGGCCTGAAACCCAGAGATTTCTAATGTCAGAGGCAGCTAGATAAGGAATCCTTTAGATTCTTGGAGACATTGCAAGTTCTCTGACTACAGGCCATTGAAGTCTCTTCTTTAGAATCTCTGCTCCTTCTCATTCATTTTAGTATTTTTGTATACCTTAATGAGAGAGAGAGAGACAGAGACAGAGATAGAGACAGACAGAGAGAGCGTAAGAGAGAGAGAGAGAGACAGAGAGAGCGACAGAGAGAGAGAATAGATATAGAGACACACTGTATGCAGCACATTCTCCAGTACTTTGTGGAGGCCACAGGACACTGAGGTGTTGGTCCTTACCTTCTCCCTTCCTGGGGGCAGGCTCTCAAGTCATCCTCAGCACAGGGCTGAGTACTAACTGGTCCAGGAACGTCAAGGTTGTAGCCTATCTCTGCCTAACATCTCACAACTGGCATGACAGGAGCCCCAGTGTGTTTCCCTTCAGTTCTGACATGTGCTCTTGGGACCCAACACAGGTCCTCATGCTCCCTTTCATTGGAAAGAATCCTGCCATCTCCTCTGGGATCTCCCTATTGCTCTTTTGTTTGTGCAGGGTTCCCTGGACCATCCTATCTCTTCCAGGTGATTAACGACTGTGTAAGGTCTCTCGTGAGTCTCCTGAGGACTGAGTTTACACACTCGCTGAGTTTTCACTCACACCACTCCAGGCTACTTTTTCTTCTTTTGCCACTTGATCTCACCAGAGGCTCCCATCTTCATCCCCTCTCTAGGTGGATATGGGAAAATATGAGCACTGTACATCCAAGGCTGCTTCAGGTTCCCACTCTGGAATGTCCAGTCTTTAACTTCCCACATCCTACACCTTCACCCTCAGCACCCTGCAGGTGTCTCAGGCAGAGCCAAGAAGGATACAGGACAGAAGATAAGCCAAGATTCTAACTCACCTCAAGAAATAGGGGGAGTAATTTGGGAGGCTTGGAGAATTCTCCGGCAGAGGAGCTCCAATGGGTGTGGGGAGGTCCACGTGGACCTGACCCAGAGGGTCAGCGGTCCTGGGACCTGATATCCTAGGTCCCTACTGGTCAGGGATACCAGTGGTCGTCGTAGGAGCAATGTTAAGTGGCTGCTAACCAGGGAAGGGGTGTGCGTCCTAGAAAGAAAAGTCAATGACTCTTGTTATAAATCGTTATTAGCTTTTTTCTAGGATTTCCCTGGATAAATGTGTTTCCTGCCTTACAAGTACTGGAATGAACAATAGAGAATCTTTGGACACTCTTCATAGGAGACAATTGACAACCACAAGTTGTCCTCAGACCCACCCTCTTCTGTGATGGTATACAGTTGCTGGGTGTACAATTCACACAACCCATGTGATACAAATGTCTTTAATAAAAGCACGTTATGGTCAACAGGGACTAAATTCAGTTGGCTGAGTGCTAGCCAAGCATGTTAGGAAGCCATGAGTTCTATCCTCAGCACAGACAGCCAGGTGGTAGCTCAGGCCTATGATCCTGGCACTCCCAAAGCTGGAGGTAGCAGACAGAACAGTTTCAAGTCCTCCTGGGTGACACAGTGCTTTCCTGGCCATCCTACATGTTTTCATGACACTGTGGAGTGCCTGCCGTTAAAGGCTCTCCTTCAGAAAGTCCGCTGCTCTGCCCCATGTCATTCTCTGTACTTGCCTGTGTGTCTCCTGAAGAGTAGACACACACACACTCGCCTGTGAGCAGGCGCAACATGTCTCAGGCGTGCAATTGGAGGACACCAGGCATCATAGGATGTGATCCCAGCTCTATGTCCTTTCTCCATTTTGCTCTCTCAGCCTGCTTCCCTATGAGCTTCCAGACTGCTTGTACCATCTCTGCAGCCCAGGGGGCCACGGAAACCCACAGAGCCTGACCCATGTTACTCCCTCAATCTTGCCTCTGTTGTTGGCCCTAACTCTGCAGGGCCAATCCCTTCCCCAATAAATAAGCCATCTCCTCAGCAATCCCTGTCCTCCATTGCCCAGATTTCAGGTTAACCTGGGACAACTTACATAAAGAGCAGAATCATCAGCCTCTTCCCCTTGGCGTCTCATGCCCCCATCGTCTTCAGCACATGATATTTTGTCCCTTATTCTTGACTTCCACTCCTCTTGATCCATCCCACGTCTCCTCCCCATGTCTAGGACCAGATGCTGCTTCTATATGTGTGGGACCTGTGACCGTAGAACCATCCTTCTTCCAGGTATCTTCTGAATTTTCCTGGGGCTGCGAGGTCTCTAGCATCCTTCTTTCAACAACTGTAACTGTGGTACTTTGAGGCATTTAGGCATGATTCGGGGTGGGAAGACAGCACCAATGGTAATTCAAGTATCCTACTTACCGTTACGGATAGGGGGAATGACTTCGGAGGCTTGTGGAAGTCTCCTCCTGCAAGGGGTCTCCAATAGGTGGGTGGCCAGTAATGGACATGGCCCAGAGGGCCAGAGGTCCTAGGACCTGATGGGCAAGGTCCTTACTGGCCGGGCACACTGATGAGCCTCCTGTGTGAAACATTCATGGTCATTGTCAATGAATTGAATTTACCAGAAAGATGAATCAGTGGGTGCATTATTTTACTGTTCTTCTTTACTCTTGATTTTCAATATCTAGACCCTTATTATGCTATGTTGATCCTTGTCCATTTTTTGTGACTTTCCCAGCTCCTGTGTTGTGTATTAGCATTCCTTTCCTGCCCTAGAGCACACACAATTATTGTAATATTGTTCCATCAGAACACATGTTCTAAGTAGAACAAAGTCTATGAATTTAGTGCTTGCTTACCACATCGCAAAACATTTCTTCCTCTCTATTCATGCACATATGTGACATGTAGGCCAGGTGTTCAAGCCTATCACTTCCAAAGATGGAGACAGTTTGATCATTAATTCAATGTCATTTTGTTTGTGTCTCGAGTTTAGTAATCTGTCATGGGTGCAAGCTCCCATAAAATGCCATTCAATGTTGTCCATTGAGGTCTGAGGTCATTTTCGTACACTCTTTGTGAAGTTTTAATACGTCATGGTACTGCTAACAGATGCTTCAGAACATCCACTGGTGTTGGTCCTCACCGATAAACTTTTCTGAATCGGGTCTCTTTTCTAGTTTTCACCTTAGGCTAGATGCATAGGGGATCGCAGATTATCCCCCTCCCCTATGTCTCACCATACAAATGCTAGTCTCCAGCACTCTCTCAGCTCTTACATGTGGTTTGGGGACTTAAACTCTAGTCCTCAAGCTTGTTGTGAAAGGACTTTATATGCTTTAAGTCATCTCAGCCATATTCTCCATCCCCTCTGTTTGAAAGTCCAGCCAAGCCTGGAACATTCTCTATTTTCCAGGCTGTCCTGAAATTCATACACCTTCTGCCCGCAGCCATTGAGTGTCACTATTCTAAACCCACACTACCACACACTAACTTTGTACCCTTTCAACTCAATCTTGGCCTTCCCTGCCTTTCAGGTACCCCCCTCTTTGGGTTGTTCAGTGACTCCATAACTGTCTTCCAAGTGTTCTTCATTTCTTCCCCTGCAGTTCTGAGGTCTTTACTTCCCACTTCTTGACATGTACATGCTAAGTATACTTGTCAATGTCTATGAAAGATCATTAGGGCACCTAGGACACATGTTAAGCCCAGTGTGTAACTTACCTCAAGATGTATATGATGGTGACTCTGGAAGCTCTGGAGAAAACCACTGCAGGGAAGAGCTTTTTGGTGTGGGTCCAGTAATGGACTTGACCACAAGGGTCAGAGGTCCTGGAACCTGATGTTATTGGTCCCTACTGTCCACACACAACAACAAGCCTCCTAGAAACAAATATTTGAAAATTTAGTATCTTAAATCTGTCACATCACCAATTTTTAAAAAATTATTTCATAACTTTTGCGTATATGCATATGTATGTGTGCACACATGCCACAGTATATATCCAGAGGACAGAAACAACTGGCAAAAGTTGGTCCTCTCCTCTTACCACTTGGGTCTCAGGAATCAAACTCAGGCCCTCAGGCTTTGCAGCACAAATCTGAGACATAGCTCTGCTCCTGCTGCCCAGTTTGTTAGTGTTTGCTTGCTGTGGATGAAACCTTGGCTTCTTCTACCTCTTTCCTGTGTATGTGCACATGTTTCCCTATGCATACACTCTTTTTCATGCATGTTGTGGCCAGAGTAGGACACTGCATGTCATCCTTTATTTCTCTACACCTTATTTTTTTAAGGGACCCTCTCACCAAATCTGAAGCTCACTATTTTGCTTATTCCTGGTTTTGCTCCACTTTGCTTTATTTCCAGGCATGAGAATCCATGACTGTCTTCTGCATGGGCATTGGAGATTTGCTCTCATGTCCTCTTTCTTATACTATAAAATCTTTCATTGAATGAACCATTTCCCCAGCCACCAACCTTGATTTACTAGCATCACATGAATATTTTATGCATGGGCCCGGTTCTTTCCAACACTCTTGGCATTATTAGCAGGTGTGTCTGATTTCCAAGGCTATTTTCAGCTCATGTGTTGTCCGCTTCCCCCCTTAAGTTCTGTAAATCTTTAAGTCATATACTCCTTACAACAGGACTACGTTTTAGATGTCCTTGTGCTTTTCATTCTATGGCTTCTGGGTTAAGCTAGCTGATTACAATATAACACTGAGTGTCAGTCTCTGTTCCTGGGACAGAAGGATTTTCTCACTTGATGGAACTGCCTGTGTAAAAGTAGATGTAAGAATGTAGGGGGCCTCTTTTGGTAGCTTATCTCAGGTGTCATTGAGCAAAAATTACATATTAATAAAATGCACTTATAATTCTTTATGGCTTTTGTATACATGTAAATGAAGTTCTTGGGAGATGACATGAGAAGGTGGAAAGTTCAAGGCTGTTATCCCCTATAGGTCAGCCTGCAATAAATGACACCCTATCTAAACAAAAACCCAACAGAGAATGGTATCTATGTTGAATAGGGAGCTGCCATTAAAACAACCCCTTATTGTTGACTAGATGTACTGCCCTTGAGGCAGTTCTGATTCTGTCAACACTACAGTCATGTTAAAGATACTCCAGCAGCTCCAGAAGACCACTCCAGACATTGCTAAAGACCAGTGATAGTTACAAACTATCTAAACAGCCTGCAAAGGCCTTAGCTAGCAGCACTCCTATACAAGACAGGTTGGAGTAAAGTCTAGATGACCCCGAAGCCATTTTTACCAGGGCTAGAGGATGATGTCACTGTCTTCTCCATCTCCCAGGTCTTTGATACAAACTCAGTCCATCATTTGCATTATGGGCTAGGTCATGATTACTATAATACCCTCTGCATTTGCATTATGGTCTATGTTACAACCACTATAATAGCCTTGTCATACACACACTCTTAGATCTATAAAATAACCTGTTAGGCTAAGCTTTTTCAGATAGTGTTTCATGTAGCCCAGGATGGCCCTGATTGTGTAGCTGATGGCCTCCTTTCTCATCCATTTTTACCCCCCATGTGTTCAGATCACAAACACGAATACTTCACTAGGCTTGGCTAATGTTTAAAAGTAGGCTGCTACCATTCTTTCACTTCATAATTTTGCAACAGGCCCATAAATCTTTTGCTATCATTTAATTTTTATAATAAGTATGGCAGTCCCAAGGTGATAGTGTGAAGACTATTAACTACGGGTTAGGGTCAGGGCCTAGAACCATAAGCTTATGACTCTCAAAACAGAGAGATAGCTCATAATAATTTGAATTTGGGGATCCAGATTAACTGGCAAACAGCATGCCAGTGACCTGTCACCTATTTATCATTTCATTTTTTTCCCCTTCCCTCCTCTCTCCTTTCCTCCCTCCCTCTTTCTGAAACTGTAACCCAAGCTCTCATCAAATGGGCTATATATCCCAGAATATCTACAACTCTTGACCCAATTGCTTTCAATTCCTAGTACTGGGATTAATGACATGGGCCACTATACCAGACTCCCTACTCATTATGTTGGACTAAGACAAAAGAATCAAACTCAGGTGGTTCTTAAATATGTATTACATGGATGTGTAGTGTTCAGGAATATAAGTTAGGAGGGCATTCCAGACACAGCGCTTACTTTTGGGCTGAGCAGAAAGACTGAAAAAAGGTGTCATAGTCAAAGGGAGTTGGGCTCTCTTAAAGAGTCTGCAAGGGCGGCAGGAGCATGGTCGCCAGATCTAATGCCACCCTTGGTTGCCGCCCAAAACGTCACCACTAAAATATTCCAGCCAATTTTGTTGACCATGTGTGACCAAACCAGTCTTCCCTACCGGAAGTGGAAGAGCCGGCGGAAGTTCTATTTCCACCAGACGCACTAGAGCAATGCGGAACTTCCACCCTGGGAGGGGACACTTCCGGTTTGCGCGCCCAGCCCCCATCCTACGGGTGCCGAGTGGGTGCGCGAGCTCAGTGCGCCTGCGAGCCGTCCCTGCATCCCGCGCGCATGGGGCGTTACTAACGGACAACTCCTTCCTCTGGGAGCTCAGATACAGGGATGCTTCGGGAATTGTGGATCCTCTTGCCCGTTATTGACTAATCCCCTCGGACCCAGGCCCTGGAGATGGTGAAGGGACCGGGAGGTGAATCTAGGTAGCTGCAGCTGTGGTTTTAGCTAAGAACAGCGCGAAACCTATTGAAGAATGTGTTTCCAGCTCACCTCAGTTTAAAAAAAAAAAAAAAAGCAAAAAAACCAAACCAAAACAACAAAAAAAAACCTATCCGGAATGGACGCACAGACAGATTCGCTGACTTGACAGTCGAGTAATATCGATCTGGGAAAAAAAAAAAATAAAACCAAAAACGACAATTGGTGCACGTTAATTTGAACCAAATCTCCTAGGAGCCAAGACTAAAGGATCAGAGCTCACCAAAGGAGATTGCAACCCGGGGTACGAGTTCCTGAGAACATGCTGTAAATACGCCAGCGTATTTAATGTCACTTGGAACCTGCAAGTTAGGTAACATCCAGATCTCCTTCCCAAATGAAGGATCGTGGCACAGGTTAAGTAAAACTTCATACTTATTTACCAACGTGTGCTTGTGTGTGTGCGTGAATATAATAAACTTGTCTAAACCCTGACCCAAACTGACATTATTTGAGGACCCACTATTATAATGGTACTAAAAGTACAGTTGTTGTTGTTTTTTTTTTACACCCTCCTCCTTTATATCTGACACAAGCGCCTGCTGTGAACAGGCCCTACATTTGTGCTGCTCCGGACTTTGTCTCACAATCCTGGAGTTACAGGGCTGAGACACCCTGCTCAGCCTCCTTTGTCGTGGTGGGTTTCCCCGGTCCCCCAGACTGGATGTCCTTTAGCCCAGCTAGCCTTAAACTTGTATGTAGCTGGAGTTGGCCTTGAAACCCCTAATCTTTCATCCTATTTAAGTACTGGAAATGCTGGGAATACAGGGCTGTGCTAACATGCCTGGCTATGTTTTCATGTTTAAGCTTTGCTGGAAGCTTTGTGTAGTTACATGAAAAAAAAGTTTGGCTTCTTTCTTTCTTTAAACAACAAGCTTGTAATAATATGACCTTTGCCCCTTGTACTGACATTAAGACCTGAAGGCTGAAAGGATAGAAACTGGAAGAACCCACTCCTTCTGGCAGTTAACTGTGGAAATCACCATGTAAGATGTCTTAGATGACTCAAGGAATAGCAAGAGTCAGTTTCAGTGAGGATCTCTTAGTTATTCCCCTTTGGGAAAATGATGAAGGCAAGCCAGGTGTGGTGGTACACTTCTGTAATCCCAGCACTTGGAAGACTGAGGCAGAAGGAACACTGACTTAGGGTGGACTACACTGTGTATTCTAGTCCAGTCTGGGCTATAGAGTGATACCTTGTGTCAGAAAATTGAAAGGAAGAAAAATATTTTTTAAAAAGCCAAAAAGCCACAATATAAGAGGTGGGGATGTAACTCAATGGTACATTGATTGCCTAGGTTAGGCAAAGGCCCTGGGTTGGACCCCCAGCATCACCAAATCAAAAGGAGGAGAGAGTAAAAGTAGGTGTGCTCACCTGCCAAGTCAAGCTGAATCTGAGCTAACTGTCACTGTGAAGGTAAGGATCTACCTAGTGAGGGTTCTAATCCCGATGACATCATATGTGTTGCTTGGTAGCAAGTAAACAAAATTTTTACTGGCCAGTCCTCATGCCCACATGATACTTGAAATACAGTTTAACGTATTTTCTTCTTCCTGTGCCATAAATTACCCCTAAACACTTATTTACTCAGAGTCTCTAAAAGTTCAAAAATCAGCGTGATTTCTTCTCTTCCCTTAAAAGAAATGAGAGGGATAAGATATCTACCATTGTGTCCTTTGAACCCATCTTAAAGTCACATAGTAGTCATTCTGTGACAGGAATCACACAGACCAATCTGAACAGAGGGAGAGGAAACTTGGCAATGGTGTGATAGCCAGAAGTGATATTGGTAGGAACCGTCTTGAAGGCTAGCTACTGCCATCTCCCAAACTCTGATTTGAAAGCACACCCACACCCCTCATGCTTTTTGGCTATCTGGATCTTTTCAGAACTGGATGATAATTTCATTAGCACATTCATTGATTGGGTTGTTTGAATTAATTGTATATATCGTAAATCTAAATCCCAAGTCAGTTGTGCAGCCAGCAAAGATTTTCTCCCATTCTGTAAGCTGTCTTGGTTCAGTTACTGCTTTTGGCGTATAGAAGCTGTTTAGTTTTCTGCAATCATGTTAATTGTTAGCAGTATTTCTGAGTGACTGAAGTTCTTTTCAGAAAGTCCTGGCTCATGTTTTATCATGTGTATCCTACTTGGTAGTTTCAGAGTTAGTCTTGCATTAGGCTCTTTGGGTAGGGAGAGAAGATACAGATGTAGTCTCATTTGTTGACATGGGCAGAACTTGTTTCCCCAACACTGTTCAAAGAGGCTATCTTTTCCCCAGTGTATATTCAGGCATCTTGTTCAAAAATCACGTTACTGACTATGTAGATTTAAATGCAGGTCTCTGTTCTAGTCCATTACACAGGCGTCTGTTTAATAATTGAAGGGACAGCTAAAAAGAAGCCTCCTCAGCTGGGTTGTTCGCTGTCTTGCTCCTCTACCTCTTTTTTAATGGTATTTCTACAGACTAGTTAATTGCAGGCAGGGGGCATGGTGGTGGTATTATTTGAATGCATAGTTCAGGGTGGCTAAACTTGAGATTCTAGCTTGATGTTATGCCTCAAGCCTGAAATCCCAGTACTTAGAAGGTTGAGGCAAAAGGAATTCATATAGAGTTGAGGCCACAGTCTATGGCTTACATAGTACCTTTTAGCCAGTCTGGGCTAAGGCTATATATCATTACCTTGATATAACAGACAAACAAAACAACAGAAAAATTAATGAACTCTTGATTTTCTTGATTTGGCCTTCCACATGCTAGTATTACAGGCAGGCACTAAACTATATACCCAGCTAACTTTTTTTTGCCTTTCCCTCTTTATTTTTTTAATTTATTTTTTTAAATTGAGCTATACATTTTTCTCTGCTCCCCTCTCTTCCTCTTCCTCTTCCCTCCCCTTCAACCTTCTCCCATGTTCCCCATGCTCCCAATTTACTTAGGAGATCTTGTCTTTTTCTACATCCCATGTAGATTAGATCCATGTATGTCTCTCTTAGGGTCCTCATTGTTGTCTAGGTTCTCTGGGATTGTGATTTGTAGGCTGGATTTCTTTGCTTTATGTTTAAAACCCACTTATGAGTGAGTACATGTGATAATTGTCTTTCTGGGTCTGGGTTACTGCACTCAAAATAATGTTTTCTAGCTCCATCCATTTTCCTGCAAATTTTAAGACGTCATCATTTTTTTCTGCTGTGTAGTACTCCATTGTGTAAATGTACCACATTTTCCTTATCCATTCTTCAGTCTAGGGGCATCTAGGTTGTTTCCAGGTTCTGGCTATGACAAACAATGTTGCTATGAACATAGTTGAGCACAAGTCTTTGTGGTATGATTGAGCATCCTTTGGGTATATACCCAAAAGTGATATTGCACCCAACTAACTTTTATTAACACCACTCTTTTTTAGATATCCTTGGATGGCCTGGACCTCATCGCATCGAACAGCCTGGCTTTGGACTCATTGGAGGTCATATTGCCTCAGTTTCCAGACTGCTGGAATTCTAGGCATGTGCCACCATGCACAGCTGTGTTCTGTATTTTGAGACAGGGGCTCACCTTCTAACCCAGCTGTATTGCAGCAAGCCTCCTGTCTGGTGTGGGTTTTCAGGTGGATAGAACCACACCCAACTTACTTTCTGAATCTTAGGATGTTTTGGCATTCCCCAAAGCTTGAAGGCTTTGGGGGAGACTTATGCTTTTAGGGTAGGTCATTGTTTGGGGCCACAAAAAAAGAACACCCCCCCCTCTACCAGGGGCGTGGCTAACCTAAACAAACCAACCAATCCTGAGGCTGTGCTCCCAACAACTTCCTGATTTAAGTCTCACACTCAAACCAGTTTTTCTCTTCCCCAAACTTACCCAGGGCCAGGTATCAGGCAACCAGATACCACTCCTGTACCCAAAGTCACTTAACTGTTCCAGTTTGCCAATGCTGAGCAATTTGTTGTGCCCAGGTGTGCCTTTTCCTCAGCAACGCCAGCAAAGACTTGACCTCGAACTTTGTCCACATTCTACTTTGTTGTTGTAAGAGCCCGGGTTACTCTGCACCTTTCCTGGTAGCCTACTGACCTTGAACTTGTGATTCTCCTGTGACAGGCTCCTGAGCGCTGAGAGCGCTGTGTATTCTCTCATTAACTTGTGCTCTACTACTTAGTAGAGTAGTAGAGCCTGGTATTTCCCCTTGGCCCCGATTAGCCATGGGCCACTCCTTCTCTGGGTGGGATCTGTGACTGTAGAACCATCTTCCTTCCAAGTTTCCTTCTATCCCCTCCTGGGGTTGTAAAATCTTTACCAACCCACCTTCAGCTTCTTCATCCTTCATAAGGACAGTTGTCTCAGAAAGGGGCTGTGGGCATAGGAAAGGTGATAAGCCAAAATGCCTTAACTTGCCTTGAGAAATAGAAACTCAGAGACTATTGGGATTCTCCTCTTTCCGTGGAGATCCTCTTGGTGGGGGACTGGCAACATGACTACAAGAGTCAGAGGTCCTGGGACCTGATGACTTGGTCACTACCTGTCACACCAACACACCTCCTAGAGACAAAGATGAGGGATTGTTATTAAGAAAGGATACTAGGGGCCAGAAGGATGGCTCAGTGGGCAAACCCTGATGACCCAAGTTCTATCCTTAAGACCCACATGTTAAAACAAGTTGACTCCTCCAGGGTGTCCTCTGATCTCCACATGTGCACTGAGGCCTGCATGCCTACATACCTTCAACATTTAGAGAAAGGTCATTAGGCCAAGGAACAAGCACTGTTGGCAGAGTGCTACCCTAATGTTCAGGAAGCTGTGGTTTCCGTCTGCCAAACTACAGAAAGTCTGGCTGGGAACTCAGTGCTGTACTCCTGCACTCCAGAAAGTTGGGTAGCTGAATCAGGAGTTACTGTCTTCTCTGGGGGCACAGTGAATCCTCTGCCATCCTGCATAGCTACATGAGACCATGAAATGCCATTAAAGGCTCTCTCAGAATTTCTGCTCATTTTCATTCTTTTCAATCTCTGTGTATTGTATATAAATGGGGGCAACACATGACATGGTGCATGTGTGCAGGCCACAGGACCTCCCTGGGCATTGAATCTTGTCTTTTACCTTTACCTGAGGCAGGGTCTCTTGTTCTCCTTTGCATATTCCAGGCTGCCTGCCCTCTTACCCTAGAAGAGCTGGGAATACTGCTGTACACTATTCCACTTGCTGGGATTAGAGGCCCACATCACCATCTGCTGGGTTTGACCCTCATTATCTTCTGCTACTTTATCCAATCTTGGACTTCCCATTGACCTGCCCACCATGAATTAACCTTTCTCTGTGTGGGATCTGTGACTGTATAACCATCTCCCTTCCAAGTCGGCTTCAGGTCCTCTTCGGATTATGAAGTCTTTTACCATTCCACTCCAACACCTGCATCTTTAGTATGCTCTGTAGGTGTAGAGGAAAAGGGCTGTTGGGGCACAGGACAGATAATGAGCCAGCTATCTAATACACCTCAAGAGATAGAGGGAAGAGACTTGGGACTTCTCTCTGGAGAGAGATCCTAATGGTGAAAGGCAGTGAAGGGAAATGACCCAACACCTGTAATCCCAGCTCCTGGGGAGGCAGAGGCAGGAGGAGCAGGTCATCCTGTGCTACACTGCAATGTTGAGGTCAGCCAGGGCGACCTGAATCCCAGTCTCAGAAAAGTTTAAAGAAAAATCAACAAAACAAAGGGGATGCTCAGGATGGTATCCCCACCCCCAAATCAGGCCACACCCCCACCAGAAACCGGCTGTGACCTGACAGCTCTCAGAGAGTTTGGTTCTCTCTGTCCCCAGTGCAGCTAGAAGCCCAACCCCTCTGATGTCCAGACAACCTTGACTTGCAGGAAAGCAACACTCTCTTCTCCCATTGTTCTTTGGATTTGAACTGTCTCTTTCCCTTCAGGGTTCCCATCATGCTGTGGATGGAGGCTCTTTCCTATGCTCTCCCAATTCAATCCCCATCATGGTGGCTTCTATCCATGAGCCTGTGGCTCACTCTAATAAAGCTCTAAAGGTGAATCACTTCAGCTTTGTTTCCTGTGATCTTGTCTTTATCTGTTATTTACATCAGGCAGCTTGTCTCTTAGGAGTTGCTAGAGGCAATTCACAGCTCTTTGAAAAAATACCTTTAGAGCCAGCCATGGTGGCCTTGCCTATCATATTAGCACTTAGGAGTTGGAGCCAGAAGGATCAAGACTTCAGGGTGATCCTCAGCTATAGGCCAACCTGGGCCACATGATCCCTGAAGACAACAACAAAGGTGGTCTTTTGAGTTGGGGACAGTCAGCCAAGCGACCCTTTCACAGTGACTGCACTGTCTTCATCACAATCCCACTGTTTTATCCTTTCTAAGCACTGCAAAGACCCAGCAGCTTTGGAGGACCACCACAGCCATGGCTAAAGACTAGCACAGACAGCCTGCACTGACCTGAAAATCGGCAAGAGAGCTGAGTACACTCTACATGACCCTCTCTGCAGCTACTTTTATCCCAGCCAGAAAGGTTCCAATAGATAACCTTCTGAAGGCTTGTGATTGATGTAACCACAATCCTTAATTTGAGTGACACATTGTGTCATTGATATAATACCGCTGCCATACACTATACCCTGGGTAAATAACTAGGCTGCAAGCTTAATTTTTTTTTTAAAGTTTTGAGACAAGATCTGGACTCAAGCTGGTATGTAATCAGATTTCTAGATATCTCTATATAGTTATTTAATTACTTTTATGTGCATTGATGTTTTGCCCGCATGTATGACTGTGCAAGGTGTCAGATCCCCTGGAACTGGAGTTACAGACAGTTGTGAGATGCCATTTGGGTACTGGGAATTGAACCCAGGTCCTCTAGAGGAGCATCCAGTACTCTTAACCACTGAGCCTTCTCTCCAGTTCCCAGGGTTGCATTCTGAACTACTGATTGTCCTGCTTTAACCTTTAGCCTGAGAGTATGGGTGAATGTCACCCTGTTTGCTTTTGGTTGGTTTATTTGAAACAGTGTTTCACTTTGTATCCCAGGCTGCCCTGGAACTCACACATAGGAGGGACTTAGAATGTGTATGGATACTGTCACCCTTGACTTTCTACATCTTCCAAAGCTTTCGGGTCTGAATAGTGTCCCTACCCCTGCTAGGGTCACTGAATCTCGGGAACAGGAAGAAGAAGAGCTCTCTACCCGGAGCATGTCTTTCAACTGTAAACCAATTCAGAGGCTAGAATGGAACAACTAACTTCCTGTGTAACCTAAAACAGTGGGGTCACAACTTAGTGGATTCAGGGTTACTAAAGCCCTGCCAGCACAGGAATGAAGTTTAATAAATGTTAAATACTAGTCTTTTCTATCAAATGTTGTAAAATCTTTTTATGTCCTCTACCTTTTAAAAGTTTTATGCAAATGTTTTAATCCCTCCATAACTAGGTAAAAACCTTTGTTACACAAAGTAAAGTGACTTAAGTGGGAGACCTCTTCCAGTTTTTCCTCATTTCATTTGCTCTAATTCTTTTCATCAAGCCAATCCCCAAAAAAAAAAAAATCCTGTGACGTCAGATCCCAGCCAATGAATAAAAGTCACAGTCACCACCTCCCTTAAAATAAAAGCCAAATGTACTTCCTGGCCCATGTGCTTACATTTCTGAGCACACCCTTTTGATCAAGAGAAAAGTTTTGCCTTACAGAGAAGCGTTGGCTTTTTGGGAGTCTCTCCTTGTTCAACCCCGAGAATATTTTTAATGATTTGGGGCTTGTTAGGCTTTCAAATTCATATAGGGGAGTGTTCAGATACCCTCCCTTTGAAGGGATGTGTCTGCTGTCATGTTGTGGTGACAGCTGGGTTTGTTGATTCTTGATGTTCCTTCATAGAAAAAGAAAATAAGGGTGGTCACTGGACCCTCTCCTGAGTAGCCAGTCTCTCTTCCCAGCTAGCTATATGTAATTCTGTCCAAATCTTATGTTGCCTTGTGGGTTAGGGGGAGGAACTAGAGTATTTAAGGTAGGAAAAACTAGGGACAAAGGCTCCATCTATGCATCTATGGGGAAGCTGTAATATATACTGGGTGAAAAATTCAGGGGGAATAAACGTTGCTCAGTGGCCCATGCCCCTACAAGGAAAATCTCACAACAAATGATAAATGTATTTGTTAATGCGATTATGTCTTATGGTATTAAGAAAGGAAACCAGTAAGAAAAAATATTAGAAGGATACAGAAATGAAAACATTTTGGTTTAGAAAAGATTTGTGTGTGAACAATAAAATGGCTGAATGTTTCAAAATGTAAAAGAAAACTAGAAAGCACATTCACATTATGAGGATCTGAGTAAGTTATTTAAAGAATATAAAAGATGAGACATAGAGATGATATTATGATATTCAAGTCAGAGGCCAATACACTGATGTTAAACCTCTGCTTAAATAAATGGAGCTATCAATCTGCTCTTTATATCAATTTCAAGAACTGGTTAAAATGTTTCTCTGTCAAAGCTTATTTTGAAGTGATTGGATTTTGCCCAAATTTTATCTAAATACTAAACAGGAGTTAAAAGTACCAGACTGGTGTACCTGACCTCTGATTGTTAATGAAAATGGCCCCTATAAGGTCATAGGGATGGCACTATTTGGAGGTGTGGTCTTGTTGGAGGAAGGTGGGTTTTAAGGTCACTAAGGGTGGGTTTTAAGGTTTCAGAAGCTCAAGCCAGGCCCAGCGTCTCACTCTCTCCTCCTGCTGCCTGCCGATCTGGACTTTGAACTCTCAGCTACCTCTCCAGCACCATGTCTACATGCACACCACCATTTTCCCACCATAGTGACAATGAACTAAATCTCTGAACTGTAAGTCAGCCCCAATTAAACGTTTTCCTTATTAAGAGTTGTTGTGGTCATAGTGTCTCTTCACAGCAATAGAAACCCTAAGACAGTGTTCAGTATCTATACTTAGAGGCCTATGCTGATGTGGTAAGAGGAATTTTTTTTTGTTTTGTTTTGTTTGAGACATGGTTTCTCTGTGTAACAGCTCTGGCTGTCCTGGAACTTGCTCTATAGACCAGGCTGGCCTTGAACTCAGAGATTCCCTTGCCTCTGTCTCCCGAGTGCCAGGATTAAAGCTGTGCACCCCCACCTGGGAAGAGGAATTTAAAGGGAGAATATCCTCCCCGTGTCCTCCAAAGTCAGCTGTGTCCCAGGGGACTGCTCAAATGTTCTGTAACTGTGGGAAGTCACCAGCTGTCTTGTTCAGGAGGTCATGGGGACCCCACCCAGTGAACTCTAACCAGTGCAAGGAGGAAATGTTTCCTTAACGCCTCCAAGCAAAGCCATATTAAGCAAGGCCTTTATTCATTTACTTACTTACTTACTTATTTCTTGTCATGCAGGCAACAGGCAAAAGTAAGGCTAGTGGAGCCAGAGATTGATTCCTGTCAAACCCACATGATCTGGGAGGATCACATCCTCAGCTGGCCTTCACAATAAAACAAAGTGATTAATTTTGGTCATGTATATGATTTTAAACACCCAGACCACCCCCCCCCCCAAAAAAAACACCCCAAAAAAAATATGAAAAATATTTTTTGGGGGTTTTTTTTTTTTTTGGGGTGTTGTTTTGTTTTTTTTTTTTTTTTTTTTTTGACAGTCCAAGGGTTCACATTCCACAGACTCTGGACGTAAATCCACAGAGACCTTACTTAGATAACTATAACTAAGAATGTTCTTCTTGATAAGAAAATGCAACCCAGATGTAAGACTTCAGATCTTGCCTCAGTTCAAAACTGCAGTGCCTATCTGCAGCCAAGAGAGAGAGACCACTACTGTTTAACATAATAATCAAAGGACAACTAAGTTTCTCTGTTCTCCCTAAGTGTTCTTGTGAGCTCCTCAAGAGTCTAGTGGATGGATTCTGATTTGGACATTTAAGACATCCTGTGTTCTGACTTCCCTGGGTGCTTCGCCTAGGACTTGTAAAGCAAATGATTCCCACCTTTCTGTCTTCATCGTGACTCCCCTGGCACCAGGCAAGTACTTCTTTTCCTTTCCTTCCTTTCTTCCCTCCCCACACCTGGCTGTTATCCTGGGGTTACCTCTTGGAGGAAGAGGGGGATGGTAAAAGCAGGAGGTGAGACTTGACCGGACAATTTACTGTGTGAGGGTGGGGGAGACGACAAAGAAGAGTAACCAGTTTATCTTTTGGCTAAAAGCCAGAAAGTTTCTTGGAACTCTTGGCAGTCTCATCCTTGCCAGAGGCCAAAGATGCCAAAAATCTTATCTGGTTCATAAATGATTCTAGGATTACCTCTGTGGGGGGGGCGGTGTGGGCAGTGGTGTTAAAATTGGCAATGGAAGCCCGTTAAGAGAAAACTAGCCCGGCATGGTGTAACTTTTTATAGGGAAGCAGAAGCTGGTGCATCTCTGAATTTGAGGCCAGCCTGGTCTATATAATAAATTCTAGGACAGTCAGGACTAGAAATTCTGCCTCAAAAAACCAAAATAAAACAAAACAACAACAACATAAATATAATGATGAAGAAAAAGAAAAAAAAAGGAAGATACTCATTTTGGTTGAGAAGAGTTGGGTCAGACCAATCTTCTGGACTAGGGAGCACCCCTAACAATGTGGTGATATCTCATATCACCTAACAAATCATATCACTCTATCACTCTAACATATCACCATATCACTCTAACAAATAAAGCTTGCCTGAAGATCGGGGAGTGGAGGTAGCCACTAGTTAACCATAGAGGTCTGGATATCTGTATAGACAGACAGGAAGTGATATGGTTGGGTGGAGAGAGGAATATGAGGCTGGAGGAGACATGAGGTCTACCCTTTTTGGTTGAGGAGTTAGCAAGGTAAGAGTTGGCTGTGACTTGCTCCTTTCTCTCTCTGATCTTTCAGCATTTGACCCAATATTTAGCTCTGAGATTTTTATTAAGACCAATTAGAACTCATGCAAAAATAGTGCCCAACTTTATGGCATGAATTCACGAAAAAGCCACTTGCCTGTGGTTTTGCAATCACTGGCACACGCCAGAGCTGCATGCAGGGGCTCCTGCAGGAGTCACTGTCCTGCCAGCTAGGTTTTCTTTTTTTTTCAAGTCTCTGAGCAAGTTTGGGTTTTCCTGTTGTAGCTTCTCTACAACAATCTCCAACTGCACCCAAAATCCAGAAGTGCCTGTGCTCTAATGCCACAGGACATACCTGGCCTAGACCAGCCTGCTCTGTCTTCAGGCCACTCCTGCCTGTTATAATTATCTTCCACACAATCCCACATGCATTTTTCAGACAGCCAGCTCCCTCTCCCACACAGGTTGTGTGTGTCCCCTGAACCTCCCTCTCAAGCTGTTGCCCCACTAGGTTGCTGCCTTGACACCTGCTCAGGCTTCTGCTGTTGTTGCAGCTGCCATGGCTACACACTACAGCTGCAGCTGTCCTCAGCCCGGCTGTGCACCGCCTGCATTCTCCACAAAGCCCATAAAGCCATGCTATGCGGCAGCAGCCTAACACTCCACCATCAGCAGATTGGGTGAGACAATTGGGAATTGTTAAGGGGGGATTAGTTTAAAAAAGAGAGTGTTTTCTCCCATATTAAAAAAAATGGGAAAGAGGCTGGGCACTGGTGGTGCACGTCTTTAATCCCAGCATTTGGAAGGAAAAGGCAGGTGGATCTCCGAGTTTGAAGCCAGCCTGGTCTAGAAGAGGTAGTTCCAGGACAGGCACCAAAGCTATAGAGAAACCCTGTCTTGGAAAATTTTTAAAAAGGGAAACACTGTTATGATGGAGAGAGTTAGGTCTCTGTATGATTACACAATGGATGGTTTAAAATTTGGACAATTAAATGAAGGGATAATCAGTTTAACCAGGGTTGACATAATGTTAATTATCATTTTGATAATCTTTACTGTTGGTTTCATAATTCTTGTTTTATCTCTAAAAAAGTTGGTTGATATGAGTTCTAAGACATAGGCCTTAGAAAAACTTATTAAAACAAATCACAGAGATATTCAGATCCAGACAGAGGAATTTAATGGAGAACCACTTTCAGTGTTGCATTATAAAGTTAGGGAAGAACAGCCTAAGGTTTTCAACCAACCAACTTTAATTTATATAGTCACCTTACAGGAACACCTGCCAAATGATAGATATCCCCAAGGCTGTACAAGAGTTAAATAGACTCCTGTGGAAAGGGTAAATTTAAGGAGATTCAAGGAAGTGATAGTTTCATATGACATACATTCACCTTTTGTGAAGCAAATGTTAAATTCACGGTCAACTTGTAATAGAATTATCCCTCAAGACCGGAGAGACTTGGTTACAGCACTTTTGGAGCCAGGTCCTCAATTACAGTGGAGGATCTGGTGGAAAGATGAGACTAAGACTATTGAACAATCAAGTAGTGCTAAAGGTATGGAAATCTCCCAGGACCAACATCTTGAAGAGGGACATTATGCTGATGTACAAAGGCAATCTCTATATGATGACCACAACCTGAATTTATGCTGTACAGAAACTTTGAATGATTAGGACAGAATTGGAGAAGTAGAAAAGAAAATTTAGTCATTTACTAAAGTCATATAAGGCCCAAAGGAAACCTTCAATGATTTCATAAAAAGATTGACATCAGCAGTATATAGAATGATACCAATCAGAAGCTAGACAAATAATAATTGAATCTCTGACTTTTGAAAATACTAATGCACAATGTGAATTGGTAATTACAATGTTAAAGGCAAGATCAGCACCCTTGGAGGAATGGATCTGAGATACATTTAATACTGAATCTTATGACCATGATGATGCTTGCATAGGACAGGTGATTTCCAGAGATTTGCAGAAAAATTGAAATATCAACTGTTTTAATTTCAGTAAATACAGTTACCTAAAAAGAGATTGTAAACAGGGCATTCCTAGAAACAATGTTTTTTTCTAACCATAATCCAAACATAATCCTTCTGGATTATGTAGAAGGTGTGGCAAAGGCAGGCATTGGACTAATGAATATAGATCAATAAGAGACTCAAGGTAACTCTTTGCTGTTGAGAAACTCCTTGAGAGGCCTCTCGCAGGCCCCCATGCCAAATTCGGTTCAGTTTCCTGTAACCATGGAGCAAACTCCTTCCCAGAGCAATTAAAGAACCTAGTGCCTATTGTAAGAGATCACACTGCTCTGGATGATAGAAAGCTATAGAAGAGAGGACAAAAAATTCAGGAGAAACCATAAAGGAAATATTTTGGCAAACTTCTATAAATGAGCAAAGACAAAAATTAAAAATATGAATAAATGACTTTGTCATTGAAGGTAGACACAGGTGTGTATGTAACAATAATTACTCCAGAATCTAGGCATCCAATTTGGTCTCTTCAGGAGATAAACATTCAGCTTTTAGGGGTTGGAACTCTATCTCAGGTAAAACAGAGTGCAAGATGGATGGAATGTGTAGGGCCAGAGGACAAGGAGAAATATAAAAGCCATATGTTACTAACAGCAATCCGTTTGTGGGAATGTGATTTGTTATAACAATGGAATACTAAGATTAACATTCCCCCAATATTAGAAACAAACCACAAATTATTGTATGTCTCTGAAAAAAATATTAGGTTTTATAAAGAACAGTCATCAACCATTCAGGCTGTTCAAGAACAGGGCACAAAAGCTGCTGATCTTTCAAAGGCACCAACAGCCCTACCTTTAAAATGGTTGACAGACAAACCTGTATGGGCTAAGCAATGGCCTTAAACAATAGAGAAACTGCAAGCCTTAGAACAACTGGTACAGAAACAGCTAAATACTCAGCATATTGAGAATCAATCAATCAATCCTTGGAGTTCTCCTGTATTTGTTGCAAAAAAATCTGGAAAATGGAGAATGGTAACAGATCTAAGAACTATTAATAAGGTGATTCAGCCAACTGGGATCCCTACAGTTTGGAATTCCTTTGCCTTCTTTATTACTCAAAGGATGGCCTCTTATATTTACTGATTTAAAAGATTGTTTCTTCACTATACCTTTACAAAAAAAGACAGAGAAGAATTTGCTTTCACAGTGCCTAATTATAATAATTCTTAGCCTGATAAGAGTTAGCAATGGAAGATTCTCCCACAAAGAATGTTAAATAGTCCCACCCTGTGCCAGTATTTTGTATGTAGGTCATTGGAAATGATATGTAAGCAATTTCCTCAATCTATAGTTTACCATTACATGGGTGACCTCTTATTAGCTGATTCAAATGTAGATCCTTTAGAAAGATTGTTTGAAGAAGTAAAGAAAAAATTGCCATGTTGGGGAGTACAAATTTCTCTTGGGAAAAATGTAAAGAGGAGATTCTTTTTGATTATTTAGGCTATAAAATAAGTTACAAAAAATTAGGCGTCAAAAATTGCAAATTAGGAGAGATTGATTGCAGATTCTTAGGACTTTAAAGATTGTTATGGCCCACTATTGGGGTAAGTCTTGACGAACTGAGAAATTTGTTCCAAACCTTAGATGGTGACAAAGACTTAAAAAGTCCCAGGAAATTATCAGTTGAACCTGAGAGATAATTGCCTTGTGGAAGAGAAATTACAGAACGCATACTTGGATGGATGGATCCAAAGCTTAATTGCATTCTGATCATATTACCATCTAAATATTTCCCACAGGATTATATGCTATTCTCATAGTATTGATGGATTTTTATGGACCCTCTTAACATAGTACTGATTTGCAATATGCAGAAAGAGTTGTTTTGAATATTGAGACTACTGAATTTGTACCAGATGATATAGAATTAACTTTACTACTTATTCATTTACAAGAAATAATCAGGAATAGGAATCATCCCACATACTTAACACACATCTAATCAATCCATATGGGTCTGCCAGGTCCTCTAGCACAAAGTAATGAAGAAATTAATCAACTATTGATTGGAAATGTGCTAGAGACTTCAGAATTTCATAAAAAAAATCCTGTCAATAGCAAAGGTATAAAAAAACGACTTTTTCATCACATTGTAACAAGCCAAGGAAATTATCAGGAAATGTTCTTTATACAACCAAACACTAC